ACGGAGATACAAAAAAGCCCCGCTTACATAAAACGTTTACCTGCCAGGTAAGACGGAAACTAGTTTTGTTAAAACTACAGTTTTCTTAAAACTAGAGTTTTTTTTAAATCTACAGTTTTATTAAATCTACAGTTTTATTAAAACTACAGTTTTATTAAAACTACAGTTTGTCAAAAAACTACAGTTTATGTTAAAACTACATTTTTGTTAAAACTACAGTTTTCTTAAAACTACAGTTTTAACAAACTGTAGTTTTAACAAACTAGTTTTAACATAACTGTAGTTTCGACAAACTCTGTAGTTTTAACAAAACTGTAGTTTTAGAAAAACTGTAGTTTTAAGAGAACTGTAGTTTTGAGAGAACTGTAGTTTTAAGAAAACAAGTTTTAACAAAAAACTGTAGTTTTAACAAGACTGTAGCTTTAACGTAACTGTAGTTTTAACAAAACTAGTTTTAACAAATTCGTGCAAACCGCGCATCCTCTTATTCTTTACTAATAACGGAGATACCGTATGATTTCAACTAAAATGGGACACCCTGTACAAACCACAGCAACTAAATTATCTCAATTTGAAATGTTGAAAAACCACAATGACGATATTTCTTCAGACGATCATTACTCAGACGAAACGTCGTTTCATCTGAAGCTTCAAAGTCTTACACAGCCTTTTCACTCATCGATCATTTTATTTTTCTCTCTGTGATACTTGTTAAAACTCATGGCTCACCTCTCATTCTATTATATGTGTCTATCTTCTAGCCCTCTCAAATTCAAGCTTTTTCGACATTTAAATCGACAATATCTTCTTCAATACCGAATGAAAAAAAAAATAGAAAGTTTTTTGTATCTGTATCCTTAAATAAATAAAAAAAAACTCTATTTAGATAGGAATACTGATATTCTTTTTTCGGTGCATTCGTCGTTTAGATGTAAAAATTAATCTCATAGGTGGAAAAAAACATTTTTGATGTACTATAAGAACGAACTGACTAGTTAATTTGTAGAAGTTGACATTTTTTCTAAAAAAATACGTTTGATACTCTCTAAACTGTTTTGTTTCTTCGATATCCGCTGTTTACTTTTTCAAGTTCATTCAATAATGATAGGGCTTTTTGCAAAAGTATTTTTTTATCGGAAAAAAGTTTTCGGATAAGGCAAAAAGTAGGTACCCCATGTGTATCATATTCGTGTCATATCAGAACTTGGTGCTTTATCAGACAAAAAAATTATTTGAAAAATGTTTGCATGTAAATATTGGGTTTGATGGTTCTCGCTGATAAAATGAAAATACAGAGTGTGTAAGTATATTTTGGTAAGGTTTTTCGTTTAATTAGTAAAGAGAGAACATTGCAGTTACTGGAAACGTAAGCTACTTTTAAGCGTGATACTGAAAATGTACACATGTACATGCTGTAGGTATCTCAGTTCTTTGACAAGATGTCAAATAGGCCGTATCCCAAAACCACCCAATATTTTTAAACGTAAAATTCAGTTACAGTTGTTATGAAAGTGATGTTATTCAATTTTGTATAATCGTTAAAAAAAAGTAGCTCGGGTTTGTAAAAAAGGTTCTACTTTACTAGTAAACGAAAAAAATACAGAATTGCAAACAAAATGTGAGACTGTCCACGTTATGGGACCATCGTGTATGATTTTGATCACATTAAGTAAAATAAACAGGTACTTAGATGATTCTGTTTCTGAGAATACAAAAAGTAAATATAATATTCATTAAGCTCTCCCATTCTTGTATATCGATGCATCCTCATGGTTAATTTTCGGAAATAATCTCATCTAAACATGTACCAACATGAAAAAAACATTGCGAGATCGTCAAACCTTTATCACCGATTACTGTTCCCATATTTCTTTGCTTACTATAGTCTGTACAATTATCGTTCAATGTGACGTCATGTATATTCGTTCTCTCTCTCTCGCGTGTGAAACGGAATGAAAGATTGTAGATGTCATTAGGGCATTCGAAAATTACAACACAAAATCAGATCTCTTGGTATATCATCCAGATATAAACTGAAACGCAACCAATATGAACAAAGTTGAAACATGCCTATTTAAAATTAATAAAATCGGAACGCGTCCAATACATTAAAGATGCTGTAAAATTGAATTATATTTATTCAGTAACGCAAAACTACAGTTTTGGTAAAACTACAGTTTAGGTAAAACTACAGCTTTGTTAAAACTAGTTTTGTTAAAACTACAGTTTTATTAAAACTACAGTTTTATTAAAACTACAGTTTTATTAAAACTACAGTTTTATTAAAACTACAGTTTTATTTAAACTACAGTTTTATTAAATCTACAGTTTTATTAAAACTACAGTTTTATTAAAACTACAGTTTGTCAAAAAACTACAGTTTATGTTAAAGCTACAGTTTTGTTAAAACTACAGCTTTCTTAAAACTACAGTTTTCTCAAAACTAGTTTAGTTTTAATAAAGTCGGAACGCACTCGATTACTAACTTAGGAACGCATTTAAAAAGTTTTAAATAATACGAACTAATCTTAGACACAACCTAAGATAAATAACACCCAAATAAACACTCCAGATAAATAATAATGACGTATTGTTGAACGATAGCTGTACAGACTATAACCTTCCAGAACGTTCAAGACCAAAATATATCTATGTATACATATTAAACAAGAATTCTATTGCATTAAACAACAAAATCATTGATAAATATCTCGCTATTTATAAACTTAGCCTTTTTCTCTAACAAATTGTTTGTCCATTTTAAATTTGCGATCGACCAACTGACAGTTTGACAGACTAAGAAATCCATCTAGCGGCCAGTTAACATGAAGTCTGTCGAAATGTCAGCTAGTCGTCCCGCCTTGTCATTCGACTGTTACTTATCGTTTTTCGTTAATAATTCGTGATGAATGGATATAACTGTGTAAATAATACAAATTGCTGTAAAAATTTAAGGATTTCTAAAAAATATGACGGTATAAAATGGACCATAGCTAATATAAATATATTTAAAATAAAAATATAAATGAGCGGGCGCTCGAACTTCGGTCTGAACGTCCGATTTGTTACTACTCAATGTACTTTTTATTTGTCTAAAATATATTGCATATGAAAAGCCTCAAAATAAATGGTTTTTTGTTATCTAACCTGGCGTTTTATTTCACATGATGTTAAGCCCCTTTTACATAAAACGTTTACCTTCCAGATAAGACGGAAACTACAGTTTTGTTAAAACTAGTTTTCTTAAAACTGCAGTTTTTTGAAACTACAGTTTTCTTAAAACTACATAACTGTAGTTTTAAAACTACATAACTGTTGTAACTAGTTTTAACCTAACTGTAGTTTTAACAAAACTATAGTTTTAGCAAAACTGTAGTTTTAAGAGGACTGTAGTTTTAAGAAAACAAGTTTTAACAAAATTGTAGTTTTAACAGAAATGTAATTTTAACATAACTGTAGTTTTAACAAAACTGTAGCTTTAACATAACTGTATTTCTAACAAAACTAATTTTAACAAATTACCAAACAAAACTGTAGTTCTAACCAAACTACAGTTTCGTTAAAAACTACAGTTTTGACTACAGTTTTGTTACGTAGTACTTTAGTTTTAACATAACTGTTGTTTCAGCAAAACTGTAGTTTTAGCAAAACTGTAAAATTACAGTTTTGCTAAAACTACAGTTTTTTACGGTTGTTAAAATTAACAAAATTGTAGTTTTGTTAAAAATAAAGTTATGTTAAAGCTACAGTGTTGTTAAAACTACAGTTATGTTAAAACTACAGTTTTGTTAAAACTTGTTTTCTTAAAACTACAGTTTTTATACCACTACAGTTTTGATAAAACTACAGTTTTGCTAAACTACAGTTTTCTTAAAACTACAGTTTTGCTAAAACTACAGGTTTGTTAAAAGTACAGTTTGTCAAAACTACAGTTATGTTAAAACTAGTTTGTGAAAACTACAGTTTTGAAAAAAACTACAGTTTTGTTTGTGGTTTGGTTGAAACTATAGTTTTAACAAAGTTGTAGTTTTAACCAAAGTAGTTTTAAGGCGACTCTAGTTTTAACAAAACTGTACTTTTAACATAACAGTAGTTTTAGCAAAGCTGCAGTTTTAAGAAAACTGTTGTTTCAGCAAAACTGTAGTTATAAGAGAACTGTAGTTTTAAGAAATTAAAGTGTTTAACAAAACTAGCTTTAACAAAACTATAGTCTCGTTAAAATTACAGTTTTGCTGAAACAACAGTTAGGTATGTTAAAATTACAGTACTACCTAACGTTAAAGCCACAGTTTTGTTAAAACTACAGTTATATTAAAACTACAGTTTTGTTGAAACTAGTTTTGTTAAAACTTGTTTTCTTAATAAGTTTTAACAGCACTACCTACAGTACTTTGTTAAAACTACAGGACTACCTAACAAAACTGTAGTTTTAACAAAACTACAGTTTCGTTAAAAACTATAGTTTTGTCAAAACTATGGTTATGTTGTAAAACTGAATGATTCCGTCAGTTCTCTAGATGGTCTTCCGTCTGCAGTTCAAAGGCCTATACAAAGGTTTCACTGATACGTTTTAACTGAACCGGTAAGACAAGGTAAAACGTGTATGTCTAACTGGATTCAAGATTACTTTTTAAATTTCTACGATATGTTGGTGCTGTTTAGACAAAATAGATCAATTTTAAAGCGAATTAGACACATAGTGAACTGCTAAGGCGAAAATTATTCCAAAGAGATCCAATCGATTGTATTTCCAAAAAGATATTTTGTTTCGCCAAGACATCTGCCATTTCACACCTGTGCTGTACACATGGCGAAAATATACGAGTTACAGATAAAACTGCTAGACCACGCTCCGTATTCGACAGATTGAGCTCCAAGTCACTTTCTTTTTATTCGCCAAGTTGTAAGATAGCTGTAAGTTGTATTTGATACGAAAACAACTTCAGTGTAGACTTTCGTGCGATAAAATTTAGGTACAGGAATTGAAGAAAAAGCTCGCGAAAAAAAAACAATATTTATTTGACTTGTCTAAAGGACCTAGAATCGTATTAAGGCTTCTCTTTATAAATATATTTACAATTGGATCTTTATTTACAATACTCCTTTATTAACAAAATTTCTATTTATTTTTACACTGTTCAGGGAAACTTCACGATAGAACGTAATATATAAAAAATATTTATATACAGGGTGTCGACGAAATTATTGCCAGTAAAACTTCTCGCGCGTCTTTTTATCAACATCTTTCGTTTCAACAATAAAAAGTACAAACTAAATATAACTTCTAACAAAATTAGAATAAACATAGGTAATGTTTGAGTTAAAAACAAAATATATTATTTGTCAAAGAATATGGTTTTCAGGATGCGTTTCATATGACTTTTGCTTTGTATTAAATCTTGGAAAATCATAAAAATGTAAAACCAACATTAAAAAGTATTTTTTTTATTTAATATGATTCTTATTCTTGAGTTTAATTAGAAATGGATTGTGTATGTGCTATCTAAAAAATATATTTATAAAAGAGGAACAAAAATATTGAACAAAAAATAGACTTCCCTAATGATTAATTTTCTTTAGTCAACGTACAACAAAAAAAAATCTTTATTAAAAAAACAATAAAATCGAACGAGACGCTACTGGAAACAACTTCATCGACACGGCGCATACTACAACAGGACCGACAACTTAACAATTATTAACAATTATGTACAGACCAGGAGCCAAAAGTCTGGCGGGAAGTCGCCTCTACAACCACGGGCTCAATTCTATATCATGTAAATTAACACGGACACGTTTATACAGGGCGTACCAAAAAGTCAGCCGCCAAACGAATGGTTATATTTTTATTATTGAGTTGTTGAGAAAAAGTTATGCAAAATATCTTGAGTTAAGTACTTTTTTTTATTGAGTTGAATTTTTTTTATTACATTGAAGTAACTACAGTTTTATTCCTTTTGTATTAAAGTTGTTTTTGTACTAAATAGTGAAAGAGTGTTTTTCTTATATTTTTATTAAAAAAGATACCTACACACCAAACATCTTTAAACCAGTGTTTTAAACAGTTTAAAAAAGTTTAATAAAAGTATAGTTTAAAAGAGTTTAAAACAATTGTTTTTAAACAAAACGTTTAAAACATAACAAAGCTGATGTTTATAAGCCAACACAGAAAGATTAACTTATTATTTTTAAGATACATTTTAAGAACAGTAAAAAATTATTTTGGTAGGAATTATTCTTGTTGGATTCCTTTGTTCTGTGCAATTTTAGTGAATAAATTATTTTTTTTAGATAGACTACAAAAAATATTAAAACAAATTATTATTTTTTGAAAGTCCCTATACATTTTATGTCATTCTCACGAAAGAAAACTTGTTTATTATTTAGACTTTTCGAAAAGTAATCAAAAAACTGATACTTTTGAAATTCCCTGTATATTTCTGAACAAGTTTTACCGATACTTTTTTACTTCACCCTACTTTTTGTTTAACTAAAGATATACTTTTGTAATTTGCAACAATGACAGTCAAAACGATTTATTTGTTCTTGTTTTTGGTCAAACTGATAAAATTAAGCAATAAACATTTTGTCAATAACTCATTAATAAAAAAAATACACTTTTGTTGAAACCTTTACAGTACACCCTGTACTACGTCGGTTTTTAATTTATGGAGGATAGAGGTAAGGAATCTTCGTGTATTGAAAAGTAGTCATCAAAGAGGGAACAATTAAGATAGCGCTTAACAAAACTGTAGTTTTAATAAAACTGTAGTTTTAAGAAAACTAGTTTTAACAAAACTGCAAACAAACTACAGTTTATTAAAACTAGTTTTGTTAAAAACTACAGTTTTCTTAAAGCTACAGTCTTCTTAAAACTACAGTTTTGCTGAAACTACAGTTTTGTTAAAGCTAGTTTTGTTGTAAAACTGAATGTTTCCATTAAGATAGCGTTGCTGTAGAAAAAGTTCTACATTTTAAAGAAGCACCGAAGTTCTTAGAACAGGAAATAATTAAAAAGAGACAGATATAGAGATAAGATTTTTGACTAACTTATTTATAACCGCTAAGTCCAGTTCGATCCCTTATTGCTTATTAGCGCCACCATGTGTTGCATTTAGTGACCACTTTTTCAAACAAAGTCCCATAAGAGATGATTCTCCTTACCTCCACCCTTCATAATCCAGTCTAAATGATCGAAAATCGACTCGCTGTCTAATGTATAGGCTGTGACACGGGTATCCATGCTAATTTACATGATGTAGTTACCGAAAGGCCTCGTCGTCGGGCGCAGGGCGATTGATTTAGGGCAGTGTATGTCTGTGTGGGCCGTTCCGATATCCGTCCGACCAATTGGTCAGCCGCCCCCCTCTCTATACTCACTCCTCCCGGCTAAGCGTATTGTTTCCATTGATATGAGCCGCTAGCGCCAGGGCCCCCTTGCGAGGGCCCCTCGGATTGAACGCCGACGTCCGTCAATCGCTTTCCGACAAAACTTTTTTCCGTTTCTTGGCCTGTTTCGGTTTCACTATTTCTTCTTCCTGAAATACGTGAATTTTGTATAACTGGGCCACAACAGACACTTGTGGCTGCAAGTGGAGGAACCCTAGATCATATGTATATACTTACGTGGATAAATCAACGCCATAAGTTTAGCATTAAAAAATATGTCTCCAACATTACGACATGCCATTTTCAAACCTTCTTTATTGCACTTATGAAACGTTCAATAGGTTTGCCTTTCTCGAGGACATTACTTTGCGCATGCGCATTAAAAGTTGCACGTATTTCCAAAATAATCACAATTTTATACGGTTTATAAAGTACAAATTATACATTGTTATGGAAACCAACTTTTCATTGACATCATATTGTCATAATCATATGTCATAATCTTATTTCCATTGTGTAACGACGCTTGTTTCTTGCGTTTTTTAATTTAAAAATTGTATTAATCACTGTTTTATCGACCGCTTTTATATAGCCAAGGATGCAAGTGTGTTCAGTGAGAAATTAATTTTAAGTTTGTGCAATTATATTTCTATTTTTTTTTTCGTTGAACTTTCTAACTACTCGTAAAAATGACTAGAAAGTGTTTAGTGTGTGAAAGTTCCAATATAAAGATTCAAAAAAAAAATAAATATTAATCCCCGAATTATCTTCTCATATGCAAGTAAAGTATTCAGTTGTTTCAAGAATATTATTTTAATTTTTGTGACAGTAAACATTCAATTTATTGTTCAAATATAAGTATTTTACAAATTCAATTTTTAAAATGAATGTCCAAATTTGGCGTGCGGACGATAGGTCCTCGACAAGGATAGATAGAGTAGAAGCACCGCGTGTGCAACAAAAAAAGAAGATAAATGGAAGTCGCTGATATGTTTGCGACAGTTTCCACAATGATTTACTTCTCCACGTAAGTATATAATATGATCTAGCGGAAGGATCCACCGGGGACCCTATACTATATATATTATAAGTCTAACTTACTTCACTACTTTCCTCCGAGCTGTCAGTTAAGTCTCTGGCCATCTGCCTCTTGGTGTTTGCCGTTGCGGGGGCTGGTTTGGCGGGGGCGGCGGCCGGCTTCCTTCCTCTGCCTTGCAGCCTGCTCTTAGTCGAACTACTGATTTCCTCCTCCTCTTCCATCAACGCGAACAACTCGCTAAATTGCTTCCGTTGACTGTCATTACTGCAAAAGAATAGAAGATATTTGTAAAGCAGATTATAATCCTTGTTTTTTCTTTATTGTTTCTCGTGGTTCGAATTTTCGGAATCGGGCACTAGTTAGGTTACTAGTTTGCGCACATAGCACGCCTACTTATGGCCTCTAAAATTGTGGACAGCGCCTGACCGGCACAGTCATTAGAGAGATATCGCAAAACCGAATAGCGTCATGCAGTATTTACGCGTACCTTATCATGGTTACGATATGCGCGAGTCAATTTTTAACGAAACGCCCGCTAATAACGTTACCGCCTGACGTAATTTGCGGATCAATTACACCAAGCGCTATTTCTAAATAACGTTTAAAAATTGCTTAAATGGACATGTGCGGGTATTTGACATCCGGGGCCGGCCGGCGAGATCTTTTATTTTGGGTTATGTTTGAATTGTTTTGAATTATTACTTTAGTTTTATTAGGTAATTTGATATTTAAGTAGCTGGGATTAGTTGTAATTAAATAAATATGGCCCAAAATATGTGGATTCCACCTCTTCCAATATTAAAGAACCTATAAAGAGGCTTAGGTTTACAGCAGATGACGACTTAGCCCTTCTAAGAGAATGTGTTGCTTGTTGCTCTAAACCCACTGGCAGACGTTGAACAATAAAGCACTGGAAATAAGCACCTTAGCCCCTTAGTTTTAAAATACCTAGTAAACAAAACAATTTCAAAGTTTTAAATTGAAAGTTGGGTTAAGTTTAAATAGCGGACGCGACGCGAACAGAATTCTTTCCGATCCGATAACTATAAATGAACAAAGTTAATACCACCTCATGTAAAGGAAATAACACCTGGCCTGATTAACGTCCATGCACGCTATTCGGTTTAGCGATATCTCTCTATTACGCTGTTTATTGTTATTTTACGCGAGTTTATTTTAGCGCACAGGAAATTTTACTCGTTTGCACATCGTCATAAAAAACAATTTGGGAAATAGGGGATAAGGGATAAGATTTTTATCTGTATACATATAGTATACTTAATCTGTGCTATAACCAACGTAAAATTTATAAAACAAAAGACATATTAAGATTTGTAATAACGATATGGATATAAATAAAACTTACCTATTGTTCTGGGCAACATTTAGGGCTCTTTGCATGGAATCTAAAGTGTAGATAGCCATGCAATCGTGTTTTTCACAAATTATCCTAAGTTTTTCTAGATGGCCCAGAACTTGGTCAGCACTCGGGACAGTCGTACTAAGCACTTTATTCCCTAGACAACAGAAAAAATAGTACAGTTTTTTAAAATCGGACAAATGAACTACTAGTGCCATACCAGCAGTTAAGATTTGTCACATATACTACGGTAATCGCAAAACATTTTCCGAGGCACGTCATCAATCTTATCGAAACTGTCACTAAAGCCTATAAACCTGACTAAATCAAATTATGGCAAAAATGTTTAATTTTTTTGTATAATTTAAGATACCGAGCTTATTTTATAGAGCAAATGATTGTAACAGATATTTTGTTTAGATTAAAGCTGCAAAAATTAGTTTAAACCGAATTTTATTATCGTTATGTTGGTCACATTGCGCCGTGTTCAGCAATGTTGTTCTTTATTATTGACAATTATCCTAGTGTCAGTCATTATTTTGTATAATATCGTGTTGTTGCTGAATCTTTGTGAGTATACTCAGTTTTTTTTTCTCAGGTAAGATTTCGACAGACGATGACAGAAGAAAAAGCAGATGACTTCCATACCAATCTATTTATTTCACTAAAAAAAGTTTCTAATATATTTTAAGTTAACTGTGGATGGGTTTATAAATAAATAGGTCATGCGTCGTCTTTTGTTGTTTTTAACCAGTTTTATTGGTTTATTTCAAAAACGACAGATCATATTTCAATATTATTGGTTTGACGCAACGATGAACGACAAACGGACTCCGATGCGTATGAACGTAGTTTATGTGAGAGTTGTCAAACTCTTGCCAAATTATAAGTTATAACTTTGTGTCAAATTATGTGAAATAGAAATGACAGGTAAATATTTTGCATTTTGCATTTTGGACTGTGTTGTTACTTGTGTTACGTGTTTTTTTTTAAATTAAGTGGAGGAAAACTCGAGGGAAAATTAAGTGTTGACCCAGACCATAGTTTACAGTTAATATTCGGTGCCCAGAAACCGCCAGAAACACAGTTTGCCAGAGAGTTGCATTAGCCACAAATAAAGTTGTATACTATCTCGTATATGGTACCAAAAACTAGAGTATCTGTACACAATAAGATCACACGATAGGTAAATAATACATTTTAGTGCTGCAGAAAAAAATTAAGATTAAAGTTAATTAACCAAGATTAGATTTTTTTCATTTTTTTACATTTTTTTCACAATATTTTGAAGTAATCACTTGTCACTCAAAATTTAAATATATTAATTATATGTTCCAATTGTACCAACTTATTTCTTTGTAAAATAAAAAAAAACTACTTTGAAATTAAAATGACAGACACATCTATCACTGCCAAGGATTGTGTCGTTGGACATACTATAATTCGCGTTTTTTGCATATTTTCATAATCTTTTTTTAAAAATTGCACTTTTAAGCACAAACAGTTCTTTTAAGAACTAAATTTTCGAGTTTTTGTAACTATTTTGAACGAGAATGTGACAATAAAGGTCCTTTATCATCCTTGACTGCAGTCAGAGAAGTAAGTTTGATTGATAAACACATTATACCACAGTTCACAGTTAGTTTTTATTAAATTCTGTGATTATTAGTTTGTGCATTAATAGCACCCTCCTACTTTTTATTACCACTTATGGCGTTGTAAGATGTACATCAATAAATCACAACCATAATAACACTTATAATAATCTTCATAATGGAGTAGTTTTTGCCAATGTGTAATAAGTAAAATAGGCTATAAAAGAAATAAATCAATTAATCACTAAAACATTAGTTATTAAATTAAAAATAAAACGTAAAACTCTTTAAAAAATGATATAATAAATATGTTGTTTGTCAATTTTAAATTAAAATTTATCTCATAAATTCATCACAATCTGGCAGCGCTGTTGCTATCGCTTGTCACTGAGAGTTGATCACGTGCAACGGAAATTGTTTTGCGATTACTATACTCTTCTTAGATATGGAAATCTCGATCCAGAACTAACCTATGCCCGCCTTTATAATGACATAACCTTGAACGATAGCCGAACAAACAATAAACCCTCAATTATTAACTAACCTGCTGTCCGTTTCCGTTTGTTGGGAGAGGTAGAAGGATACCGCGTACTCAACAAAGAAGAGATCAGTTCGGCAACTTTGTCAATATACTCGTCGCACCAATATTTAATAACGGTAAATATGAACAAATCCCCGTTCTCGCAAATGTCCCTGGAGAACAGGCATTTGATGTAGTCGGCGTTCGGTTTCTCCTGCTTCAACATCAGCATGACAGCTGTCAAGGCTTCCGGGTGTTGTTCACAATCCAGCTCGGTGACTAGCGGTAGCACGGTGTCGATGGTGAAGTCGTGGGCGTTGATCAGCTGCCAGAAGAACAGCTGTTCGATGGACTCCCACGACAGGGTGGCCTTGAGCAGTCCGTGCAAGTTTTCCGCTTTGAACATAACGAGATGGCCTTGTAGAACCTGTTTGAAACATGTTATTGTCAGATAAGTACCAGGTAATGGGCAGGTATATCATAAAATTATAATGTTGAGATAGTAAATTATAATTTTAATGATGTAAACCATGTTTTATATCTACAGGGTGGTCTGAACTGTATTCCGGAAATTTCGGCAGCATATTCTGCAGATAAAAATAAGTAAAAAAAATCGTATAAATGTATGTCCGAAAATGCTTAGTTTCGGAAATACAGAGTGTACAAATTTCATTTTTATTTATACAAACTTTTTATTTATTTTTATCTGCAGAATATGCAGTCGAAGTTTCCGGAATACAGTTCGGACCACCCTGTATATAAAAAAATATATTTTATTTTAAATACCGTATGATACAGCGTCCAGTTGGCTGGGAAATGAACATCGATGACGTTTCCCATATAAATTTACATATAAAATGACAGCGATCTTCATTCCATAGCCATCGCTGACGCCATTTTTTCTCGATCATACGGTATAATATGCTTCAATATAAGGTTTTGTTAATTTTTTTATGGGGTAAGCAACGGAATACAACGTAAATATTTTGAGTAGTAATATAAAATATAATAATTAGTATAGTAAAAATAAAATTGCTTATTATTAATATCAATGGAGGAAAAGCATAATCTTCCTTAAAATATATCACTCACCTTAGCCACCAGCGTCTGAAGTTGCCTCGCGTCCACCGCCGATATAATCACCCTGAGCGCTTGCGCATTGTTCACCATCTGCTGCTTGAAGTCCCTGTACAGGTCCGGCACCAGCCACATCATCAGCTTCGTATCAGTCACGTGACACGCGTTCAAATCGTCGTACAAGCACTGATCGAGCTTCTTCTCGATTCCGCTGCAAAACTCCTTATAGAGGGCGATCTTCAGCGCGCTCGCTTTCGTGTTGTCGTCCTTTTTGTTCTCCGTCCTGATCTGCACTTTGAGAAAGTACAGGATAAAGTATCCTAAAGGCGGTAAGTGCGGGTGCATCTCGGACAGAAACCGAATCAACAAAGCCTTGTTCGCCTGGTCGTCTTTGGAGTTCGTATAACTGTAAATAGTTTTAAGCAAAGTGAAGAGGGGGCTGTTCACGCTCTCGGTGAGGTGTTCTTGAGAGGGGACGTCGGGGAAGACGTGGTCCGCTTTGAGGTCGTTGCGGATGCAGTTGGAGAAGATGCGGGCGGCGGAGGAGAACGAGTCCTCGTCCGATTGGTTGTCGACGTCGAGGTCAATCAGTTCGGTCACCATTTCCTGGGCGAGGTCGCAGCGACGTTTCAGGTCGTCTTCGTCCTGGAGTTTGGACAGCACGTCGCCCAGGGGACCGTCCATCATGCTGTCGTCGGACTTGTCCGATTTCTCTTTTAACCGTACCTAGAAAAAATTGAGAGAGTTTAGCTGTTGTTTGGATCGGGATTGGAAAAAATAACGTTTTTATTTTATTTATAAACAAAACACAGTAACTTAATAGATATTTACGATACAAGTAAGTTAACAGCATCATTAAGATGGTTACAAAACGTCAAATAATACCATGCATGGCAATGTCTAATCAATGTTTAAAAAATCAGCGATTCGGAAAGTATTCCCTCTGACATTGAAGAAGAGGCATTCAGAGCCATTTCTGGATTGCTTTCAGCAAGATCGAAACAGAACTATGAATATACATACCTAAGTATGAAAAATGGTGCACCGAAAAAAAAAAGTACACAACTATGAAAAGGTACTCATAACATATTTTTCCAATTTATCTGCTACTTATAAACCTTCGTCTCTTTGGGTTTTCTATTCAATTATACGTACTATGATATCTATTAAAATGAATATATATGCTTCATCAGGCATTTACTTGAAAGATTGTTCACACTGTATCATTAACATTTATAATAAATAAGTTTTCATGTTTCTGTAGTTATTATCAATAGAACAGGTTATTTGTATTTAGTAGGTATTTAATGAAAAATAAATGTTTTATAAAATACTTTTTTCTCTTTGGTAGTCATCTACAAGGAGTGCGGTAATGAAAATGCGTGAGTTAAGAAGCTCTTAATTCACTCAAAATACGTGAGTTAAGAGCTTCTTAACTCACTGACGTAGATAAATAGTTTTAAACAAATATCTATCTCATCTATTAGTTATGACCTTCAAGTTTTTGCTGTCGAAAATTTTATCTTACATTTTTTTATTAAATATCTGTGATTAGACGTTGTGACATTGACTTTTTATTAAGGGTAACAAGATACTCATTTTTTAGACTGAAAAATATCCATGCTCTTGTTAAAGCTTGATTTTCATGGGTCCGTTATCCGTTGATATGATGATCTGACGGCGTACTGATTGGTCATAGCGTTTTCGCGCCACTTTTCATCCATAATTTTTTTAATCCAGCCCGTCAACGGAGAAAGATCGTACGATAACGGACGTTTTGACAAATATAATCTAACCCTAATAAAAATATTATAGTACAAAAGCTGGTTCTTTAATATATCTTTTGTTATGCTCTCCTAACCGCAGTGCGTGCCGTCTGGCTGCCGGTAGACTACTGCCGTTCACTACTGCGCATCACATCTGTACAGGGTATGCCATTTTTTTATGGGATTTATCGTTTATGAGTAGATATACAATGATGCGATTTTCACATTACATTGCTACTTTTTTATGAAACTAAATATGCCATACATATGTTCGTCCTAGCCTCCTTAGTTCCTGAAATACACGGCAAATTTGTGATGCGCAGTAGTGAAGGTAAGTAATTTTCTAACCAATCAAAGTCTTTAAATTCAACCAATAAAATTAATATCGTATAATCGTATCGTCAGATAACGGATGCGTGAAAATCAAGCTTAAGCCTAAAATTAGATGTTTTGAACGAAAATTTTAATCCGCCGACACTCCCTATCTTCAGAAATTATTTAAAATTCATCAGCAAAAAAAAATAAAACATAATAATATGCAAAAATAAATATGATCAACATCATATTTATTAAATATGATTAAGATACATACATAAAACAAACGAAATTTTAAAAGAGCACAATAACAACTAACGTGCCCTTTTAAAAATTATCGTTATACGATTATCTCTCTAAAATACATACTTTAGATAAAGGAATGTCATCGTCGTCAGTATCATCTTCCAGACTGGTTATCTGCAACCCGGGTTCATCCTCGTCATCGCTGAAAGCAGGTTCTCCATCCAGTAAGTGATTGTTCAAAGATATGTTAACGGGTTCCTCTTCAAACTTCTGGGGACCCCCGAAATCATCCCGCGACGTTGAAGTCTGTACATTAGCCGGTTCTATACAAAATTCCTGCAAAAAGACAGGGTAAGTTTAAAAATTAAACTGACTATTCCCGCCTTTACTTATAAATTTAAATTTAATCTTTGACATATTTAAACAAAAAAAAGAAACGAATAGATATGATGAACATCTAAAATAAAAGGTTGAAATAATGCCATTACCAATAAAAAATAATATATGGTAAACGCAAAACAATTTCCTATGCACGTGATCAAGTGTGAGTGACAAGCGATGGCGACAGCGCTGCCAGATTGTGATGGATTTATGAGATGAATCTTAATGCACAAAACGTAGAAATAACTTTGAAAGTAATGTAATGTGCTTATCAATCAAACTTACTTCTCTGACTGCAGTCAAGGGTAATAAGGGGCCTTTATTGTAACGTTCTCATTCAAAATAGTTTATCAGGAAGCTTCAAGCTCTCGACTGGTTAAATGCTTCTGCATATTTTCAACACACAATTTCAAGAAATGCAATACAAAAACTCGAAAATTTAGTTCATAAAAGAACTGTTTGAGCTTAAAAGTACAATTTTCCAAAAAATACTATGAAAATAGGCAAAAAACGAGAATTATTCACAAAGAGTCAACAACAACATGATATTATACAAAATCATGACTGACATTAGGATGATTGTCAAATAATAAACGACAACCTTGCTGAAAACGGCGCAATGTGACCAACATAGCGATAATAAAATTGGGTTTAAAGCAAAAGGAAGAGCTGCTCGGTATCTTAAATTATAAAACAAATTTAAACATTTTTGCCAAAATTATATTTAGTCAGGTTTATAGGCTTGTCAATGTAGTGTCAATCATATAGGTACTGTCAAATATATAGTGTCAATGTCAATATGACTGATGACGTGCATCGAAAAATGTTTTGCGATTACAATATATGATTCTATCAGTAAAACTAACCTTAAAAGTTTCCTTAACCATATTCCTCAACTCCCTGTCCAATTTCGAGTTGTCGAACAAAGGCAGCAAACTAGGCAGTACCCTTTTATCCAAGATCTGTCTCAGCGAGCTGAATATACCGCTCCGAACCTTGTCCGTCAGAGGAGGATAGAAATTCGCGATAATCCGGCACAAAAAGTCCAACAAGGTGGCCGTGACCGCGGGATGCGACCTCATCGAGTGATGCATAACCAGAATGGCCGGTTCGATGTTCATGATGTTGTCTTTGCCGATGTCGTAAACAGCCAATCGTAGAACAGGGCCAGTTTGGCGTTAGATACGGCAACGCTGCTAGTACAGGTGGTGAGGAGCCAACCTATAACGGCCCAGCGCGGTATGATGTCGGAACAGAGTAGTTCGTTTGTCGGGTGGATTACGCCTACTATAAATCTAGAAAAAAACAGACATAGTAATAGAAAGGTAATATAATTATTTACAATAATACCAGATACGCTAAATGAAACAACTAAGTAAAATACATAAAATTAGTATATACTATTTTTTAACTTAATTAGTAAACAAACGTGAAAATATAAGATTAAAAACATATTTAATTAGTTAATTCTACATAAAATATTTAATTTATTGTTTACTACTTGCAACAAATTATACAGGTTCACAATAGCACAAGCAATAATTATTGAAGTTTCACTGTAAGATTCGCGATAATCTCTTTGTAATTGAACTCCTGACAATGCCTATCCAGATTTATATACTTTGCATAAAATAAATATGAAAATATACTCAGAAGGGTATAAGTCACGTTACTATTTTTAATTTTCACTCCAATCATTTGTAAAACTTTAAAGCATCACTATAAAAACATTTTCAAAGATATACAGAGTGTGTCAAATATATTTTTACACTATAATTGTAGTTTTTTAATAATTATAAGTAGCATACCGGATAATATCACAACGTAAAGATTGAGACTGGGGGGTAGCCAGGTACTGTCTTTGGAACCAATCTTGGTACCGCTTGTGGTTTCCAAACCGCACCTGGGACGTTAGAAAGACCAACTTTCGTTCCATTTCGGGCGTCAGACGTGACTGCAGAAATCTTCGCGATGTCCTGTTCTGGAGCAGTTGCAGAACACCTAAAAAAGACACATAGATCTTTAGAATAAATTCAAAATTCAAATCATGGCAGACAAGTCATAGAGCGTAAATTGTCTGTATGTTATTGATATTATTGTACTTTCATTAAATAAAACAAAAGTCAGGAAAGATTTCAAGAGAAGGCAGTCAAAAAATGACAGAAAATGCAATTTACCTATGAACTAAAATAACAGACAATAACTGTCACTGTCAAAAAACCTCTCAATAGATAGAGCACATCTATATGACAAAAAATGCAATTTATCTGTGAAATAAAATGATAGACAACAGCTGTCACTGGCAAGAAACCTCTTACAGGACAGACTTTATTAGTTATCAAAACAACATGCCTGGTTGCATATCTAAACTGCCCTTAAAATACCCTCTTAAGAAATTAGTGACCACATGATATTAAAAAAAAATAAACAAAGTAAATTGCCATATTCTAATGTTTTTTTCTTTATTAGAAGTATTGAGCAAGAATAGAAATGTAAATTTAAAGAATGTAGGTAAATGTATAAATACAAATAATATAGGATAGTATTGAAACTGTAAATTGTATAATAACATATAAAAAAATTCTAAAAGGCATTGAAGATTGAAGATATTACCCCAAATTTAAGAAAAATATATGATACTTTAACTTGTTGAATATATAGAAGGTGTTTAAATATAATTTATACAATATGTTTTGAGATCTAAGCTTATAATTTTATAAACAAATTATATAACTTTCAATTCAAATCATACAAAACAATCAGCTAAATTTGTCTGACATTATAAATCACTTCTAAATTAATTAGAACTTGACATTCTCCAGGATTAAATAATTTTCTTGTATATTGACATTAAAAATTTGATATTTATATTTAAAACAATTACCAGGGACTGGTTCTGGTCTTATGCAATATTTAAAAAGTTTTAATATGTATTAATGACTAGTAGGATTATTGAGGTGTAATAAATTGATTGAGTTTACTTATTACTCATTAAATAGAAGAATTATTTAAGTACTTACTGATAATAAAAACAATACATGTCAAATGTAAAGTTATAAGACCGTAAGGTCTAATTGTATTCAACAAGCAATTAATAGAACTTAGTTTAGTATATCAATAAAAAATATATAAAGAATCTTACCTGTAAAGGTTGGGCTTAGGGTTTTAGGAGCCAAAAGAATATCTTTCCATAACTGTTCAAACTCAGGTATCCTAGCAACATTCTGTAATAGCCTAACTAAGTCTCTGCCTATCACCAAACAATCATGAAAATGTTCTCGCATAATACTGATTAAAAAAGTCACTTCCTTTTGTCTCAGGTTGCTTAAATAAGGTGCCTGATGGTCCTCAATTAACCTTAAATACGTATAAACCACAGACGCGATAAGAATTGGAAACTTTTCCAACCAAGTGCGATATTCCACAAATAGATCTAGCAACGATTCCACCAGGTTCAAGTTCCTGGGGCTTACGTCGCCTCCAGCCGCGTGCCTTAGTAAGATCCAACACAAATTGTCTACACTGCTTACATTGTTCTTTATCATCTCGCGAAGCATCCATATTAACTGCTGTTTCACTATATCCGTAAACCTAAGGTATTTCTCTAACACTAATTGGGATAAATTTGTTACCACGTGTCCGAAACCATCCCTGGTAATTAGGGTCAAGTCCCGATAACTTCTAGCAGCGTTGTGGGGCTCTGTTAATATCGAAACTAATAATCCAAAGGAGATCTCTTCGTAGCCTTTCTCTTTGAGCAGAGCTTTGTTGAGGGCCTCGTGAGCATCCTTATCGCTTAGATCACCCCTGACACCTTGGAGGAACTGGTAACTTCGCAGCAGTTTCTGAAATCGAGAACAAAATATTAGATGAATATTTTTAAATTGTGCGCCATTCACTCAATTTTGACAGATGGCAACACAAACAGTTGACAGGGCGAGTTCCACAATGGCGGACGCGGCACCATATCATCGTTAAAATACGAATTAAACCCATTTACCTCTTCCGTATCGTCTTTATTTTCCACGGGGGTAGTTAGAAAAAGTCTGGGAGCCCCTACTGGCTTCGGTTCCATGTCGTAGGGCGTGTATTAACGGCCGCTAGGAGACGTTTAACGCAGAGAGGTACGGGAGGGTATGCATCGTCCCGTCCTTTGGAAAATGTTTGTGAAAATCAAGCGCGCGTTGATATATATGTACGTCGACTTTACGGAACGAACCGATTGGTTCGCTAGGAGTAGTGATGGGAAATATCGATGTTAATATCGAAAGTAAACAGTCTTGAAAACTCGGCTGCGTTAATAATAGATTTTCAATCATTATCATTATCACATTAAATATTTCAGAAGGATAACTATAAAATTTTGTGAGGAAAATGTAAACTAATATGTAACCAGACTATTTTCTTAATACATTGTGTTTAAAATATGCGTATTATGTTTTGAGAATTTTTAATTAAATTTATGAATTAGTAGTAATGTTGAAAACAGCTTTTGTTTGCTATTTAGAAAACGATATTTAAAAAAACTTTATACCGGGTCCGTCTCAAAAATGGCTCACCCCTAAAACTTTTTATTTTTACAGATAAAATATCGAGATTTGGTATGTTAGTATATGACATAAATTAGGATTGATTGACGTATTCAATATTGTTGTTGGTCACTTCCTGTTTCACCGGAAATGACTACAACTTTTGATTTTTTAATGGTAACCTTGGTATTTTGTTATTTTATTCTATAGGAGATGACATAGAATGACATATCATATGTCAACTTTTGACATTTTCACATATGGTTTATTTGAAATTATAACTTACGGTTCGTAAAGAAAATTTGACTCGCAATACCAGGTGTGTGGTATCAAATTATTTGTAAAAAAATGCTTTTCCCAAATATGCTAATGAGCCACCCTCGTTCCATTTGAAAAAATTGAGATATGATTAAAAATACGATTTGGGCATCTTTTAATCGGCCAGGACAAAACAATAAAAACATTAGACAATCAAATTTATTTTTCCAAGACTCCTTGAATAAAAATTGATATGTCATTTTATGTCATATACTAACATACCAAATCTCGTTTTGTTATCTAAAAAAATAACATTAACTTGTCTCGTATAAACGCACCTTCACAGTTCTATTCGACTGAAGATCGATATTTTTCAATTTTCGCCCAGCACTACTCGGAGATGTCCGATCGTTGCCGTTTTTCGTTGGCGGCGTGCGACGGGGAACCGTTCATTCCTTTTTTTAAGAAAAACCTTTCGAAAACGCTGCGCAACGTGCTCGGGGAATATACCGAACTCATCTTACAAGCGTATTTATTCATGTGCACGTTAAATTTCATATCGTTTAACTTTACAAAATGTACCGTCAGCGGCGGCGCACTAGGGGTATTACACTAATTAATATCACTTTTAATTAACTTTCTATTTTTAATTAAGATAACTCATTTTAGACCTGTAGTGCAATTAGTGGATGATTATATTAGTTTAAAATAAAATTATATCGATTTGCTATAGTCTGTCTAACGGGAGGATCTATGACGAGTGACAGTCCAGAGTCTGTCATTTTAATTCATAGGTAAACTGCATTTACTGTCATTTTTGGATGTTATCTGTAGAAATTTGTCCTGTCTCGTTGGACGCACTGTATAATTGAACACTTGAATAAAACAAATCTGCGACGTTGCCATGCATGCTATTATTTCTTATTTACTAAAAGTTTGACTAAAAACAGTATATTCGAAAAGTGGTAAAAATCTGGAGTGAATTTAACTTTATTAATACCGTATGATCGAAAAAAAACGGCGTCCATTTGGCTTGGAATTGAACATCGATGACATTCCCCATATAATTTTACATATAAAATGACAGCGATCTTCATATCATAGCCATCGCTGACGCCGTTTTTATTCAATCATACGGTATATATAGTTACCTATATTTTCCACAATGCCAAAAATGACAGAATAAATAATCCACGAAAGAAAACTCGCATATTATACAGGGTATATTATATGGAGTGGCCAACATTGCAGTATTTATTATGCTATTTTTTTTTAAATGCAACACACTGTATATTATTTTTCTTTAATATGCAGAATTAAAAAACGAACATTTTTTTGTATTTAAAGTGTTCCTAAATTTTTAACAGTTTGGCAACTATTCGCGGTATATTACATATGGTTCATGGCTCTTTCAGCAGTAATTTTTTATCAAAGCCACCTTATATTTTACAACTGAAAGAGCCAATTATAATACCGCGAATATCTACGAAATCGTTAATTCAAAACACTTTAAATACCAAAAATGTTCGTTCTGCATCTGAAAAGAAAATAATATACAGGGTGTTACATTTAAAAAATCTTTAGCGTTTAAGAAAATTTAGCTGAGTATAAATAAAGTTAAATTCACTGTGTGTAACCACTTTTCGGATATACTGTTTTTAACCAAATTTTCAGTAAATAAGAAATAACATGGCAACACTGCATAGTGCTTCAAATAAAAATAATGTGTTATAACAGTATTTTATATGCTCGAAAAAAAGGAGGCTACAATTTAAAAAAAACTTTACAACTTATTATTCCTTTTTTTGGGACACCCTGTATAAAACAAAATATTTTTAGGATATGCACAAAGCTTTTTTTCATACCTTCGTCAACAACGACGATATTGGACTTCGCACTAATTGGCCACCCTGTATATTTACAATTTTTTAACTACTGCAAACAATTTGAATTATGGACTGCAAAATCGATAATTTTTCACTTTAAATTAGTATATAATAGGAAAATAGTCCAAATTAAAAAAATATATATAATAAAGTGTTTTTATCATTTAACATTTTATTTATTTGTATATCACTCTCACAATATCACTTATTGCACCACCTAAACACAGCATACAAAGTTAAAAAAATCTAATTTAATTACCTACTATTGAGAGAAAGTATTTTTTTGTACAATTAAATACAAACAAGGTTGTTTGTTAATACTAATAACATGCAATTGATAACATAATTGTTCAGCATTTGGACTTAGCTACTAAAATATTAAAGGTATATTTTTCTATCCATGTACAAATACTCCCAGAACAAAAAAAGTTCAAAAAAGAAAAATGTAAAATAGGAATGACTTGCTGAAATCTAAATTTGTACTAACACATTTATAATCTATAATTTTCCTTTTTTATATCTCAATCTAGCCTGAGATCTGGAATATCTTGGGGTTCTTTTAACTTCCTTTTCTTCGGGAATAGATTTTTCTTCTTCCTCTTCCTTATCTAGAATAAAAAAAGTATTTTTTATGCTCAAAAAGTGAAAAGAAATACTATAATAACATAATTTGTAGCGAGAAAAAAATTTACTTAGATCAGGAGGTGGTTCTAATAAACCTGCTCTTTGATTCTTGACATATCCTCTATAAGATTTAGCTATTCCATACCCTATTAACGATATCATGATTGTTACAACTGCCATAAGTATAGGATGCTGCAAAAAATATTTGTTGAAATGTGAAAAAACTTAATTCAAAACACCCACTGTTGGTTTCATTGTTAATAAACAATCAGCTATAAATATGGTAACTCCTATCACAATCCCAACTCCTGCACCAACCCATGGTACTTTCCTTTCATTTTCTGTTTGTCTTATCAGTTCTTTCGCAGCCCGATTCAAAGCTTCCAGAATAATTATATCATCGGGCTTTAGTTTAAGTGCAGCTTTATACGATTCATAAGCATCATTGTAATGTCCAGTAGCAAACTCTACTTCTCCTAAAAAAGGTCTGTATTAAATTTCATCTTCTTGGTACTGAAAGAAACTAAGTACCTTTACGGAAATATCCTTTAGGCCATGCAGGGTTTAAGTTGATTGTTTCTCGAGCATCGTCGATAGCGAAATAATACTGCTTTATTTTTAAGAAAGCTAGAGATCTGTTGCTGTACAACGTGTAATTTTCACCCTCTAATTTGATTGCGTGAGTATAGTGCAAGATCGCCTCCTGGAACTTGTTTTCTTTCACTGCTTTATTACCTAATTCTTTCAGAGTTTCCACACTCGGCTGTAAATAAACAAATTGGATATTTTGGAATGCTTTTTATAAGAAATATTTCTATACCTCTTCTTCTGATGTTTCCATTGAATTTATAATCCTAAAAGCTCTTGTTTATATTATTGTTTTCGGGAAGTTTTGTGAAAATCTAACCTCAATACTAAATGTCATGTCAAAAAAAAAATCTGACATAAATAATATAGGGTGCGTTCCGAAATTAAAACTAATCTATGACAAATCTCGAAAAGAAACTACCAATGAACATTTAGAATTCACGCCCAATAAAAATTCTGGAAACAGCGCCCTCCCACTCCAGGTTTATATGCGAGGGAAATTTAAAATTTGTGAAGTTGGTTCTTTTCTCTGTAAAATTAGACTATAGGATTCGACAAATTTCCTTTCTTTGTAAATTAATGCTGATTTATGTTAATGAAATGTTAAGAAAGGAATTTGGAATGGTCAATGATAACTAAAACAACGTATCTGTGATGCTTTCATATATGTATATATATAATATATTGAATATAGATCAAAAATTTACAATGAAACGATATATGTCGTTACAAAACTAAGCCACTTTCGATTTTCTTAAATTGGACATTTACAACTCGGTAATACGAAGGTATATACAGATTGGTTCAAGCATGTACAAGTTACACCATTTTAGTCTATCTCTTCTATGTTCGTATTGATCGTGTGGCCCTCTTACGTGGCTCGTCATCATTTATTTGTAAATCTAGAGAGAAAATAGAGCCAAAAAGTCGCTCTAAAAATATCCTACGGTATAATATGATCACTGGACAGTAAGTTTTCATTTGATATAGTTTTTATATATTACCGACTGTTGAATAAATGACTTGCATTACATTGATAAACGATGTGGAATTTAAAAAATGAAAAAATCTTTATCAAAATATGCAAGTACTTTATTAAAAGTCGAGTATTTCTCTAAAATTTTTAAAATATAATCTATAAAAAACCTTATTTACCATCATATTTTTTTGCATCGAAAAATTTTGCATCATGTAATTTAAATTTTTTCTCTAATTTTAGGAGTAAAAACGTTTTCATCCATCGAAATAAAAAAACACCCAACAAAAACAATCTTGATCCGTTCATTTTACTAAAAATAAAAATTACACAATTTCCCACTATTAACGACATACTTTGTTATATTTATTTCTTTTATATATTTTTTTGGAGTTTTTATAATGCTTCGTTTTCACGAAATGAAAAGCTAGAAGAATGACAAAATACAAGCATACTTCTTAAGTATTAATATAATATAATAATAATATACAATTGGTATAACTTTCTTCCAGCGTTCCCGTAGATAGCTTGTTCTATACTTGAAAATTTTAAACTATATTGGTATTGGTCCAAAAATTTGATTGCTTCGAGTAAAGTCCTTAGATATTTTATAGTGTCACTAATTTCAATGAATAAAAAGAATAAAAGGCAACCAACCATCACAAAACCCCTTTATTGACAGTTTGTTATTTTTATTTTTTATTATTTCATGTTTATTTAAAATTAGTTTTCTGTAAAGTGGATAAATCTGGATAAACATTTCGTTAGGACTCCCATTCTATATGAACCTTAGAAACTTATATAGAAAAAATATTTACAAACTGATTTTGTATGTTTTGTGTGACTTATGAATTTTGTACAGGGTGGGTCAAATTCGACGTTTTTAAATGGAAACACCCTTTTCTATAGGAGATAGACAAAAACTAATATCGGTGTCCGGAGATCAATTTTTGTCAAAAACGGGATGGTGAAAACCGCATATCGATATCTGTTACCGTTTCGGAGTTACGGGGTGTTTTTCAAAAATATGCATTTTTAACAAATCGCTGTAACTTTTTTGCTATGGAAAATTTTATGTTTTTATGAAAACATTTCCAAAGCAAATTTTTTCGTAGAATTTAATGGTTTAAGTATAATTTTTTTAAAATTAATAATTTAAGAATTATCAACAGAAAATTTGATTTTTTATATGGGACTCCCTGTATATTTTTAATTTATTGAAAAGGATTTAAAATTACCTTTCCAAAAATATAACACACTTGATATTTTGCTCGATTCCTCTTCGAGATATAGAGTAAATAAAAACCAAACCTTTCTTCTTCCGCAAATATATCCATAAGATTAGATCCATGGCACTAAGTCAGGCGGCCTCGACGGTCAACGGCTGGGATCTTGGTTAATTATTCAATTATTCTTGAAATTTGCTGCAAATATTTGCTGATAACTTCAGCGTTCAGAGGCGGTGCGTCGTCTTGCTGGAAAAATATGTTTTCCAGTTCCATTAAGGGCATATCATCAATAAGGGGTCCAAAGCCTACTAGTTAAAAGTGGCGAACTTTTAAAAATTCTGTATTTCGAAGGGGATTATAACAAAGTATCAAGTGTGCTATATTTTTGGAAAGCTAATTTTAAATTCTTTTCAGTTAATTAAAAATATAGTGGGTGTCCCAAATAAAAAATCAATTTTTCTGTTGATAACTCTTAAATTATTAATTAAAAAAAATTATACTTAAACCATTAAATTCTACGTAAAAAGTGCTTTGGAAATGTTTTCATAAAATACAAAATTTTCCATAGCAAAAAGTTACGGCGATTTTTAAAAATGCATATTTTCGAAAACACCCCGTAACTCCGAAACAGTAACAGATATCGACGTGCGGTTTTCACCATTATGTTTTTGATGAAAATTGAGCTCCAGACACCGATATTAGTTTTTGCCTATCTCCTATAGAAAAGGGAATTTCCCTTTAAAAGCGTCCAATTTGACCCACCCTGTACATTGTTGTAATCTTTTGGTTGCTGTTATTTTAAATTTCCCGCCTCTAAATGGAGGTCTATTATATCTAAGAACTTACTTAGTTATTAACAAAAATCTAAGCTTACAGTAAAAAAAAAGATAGCTTATATGACATGATTAGATATGTTCAAATAATTTTCTAACCAAGAAAACAGTGGTACAAAACAAGCTGTCGTGGAACGCTGTAGGGCTTACGTTTAAAAATATTACATGCTGCATCAAGGACGTGCCAAAGTCGTCATCATAAATCAGAAATATGTACAATCACAACCGACTTAACTATCTTCTCCTTAATATATTAATTTTTTTAACATTTTTTTCCTCAGGAAACCTGGCTATTTTTAGGACAGTCAACGGGAAGGCAATCAAATCTTCTCAACAATAACTGACAAGGCAAAATAATCTATTGCCCTTCCCCAAATAGTAAATATTAAGTATTATACAGGGCGTGGAAATTAGACAAATTTAAAAATCAGTAAAAAATTGTAACACTAGAATCATTGTCATACAGTCTAACCTTCTACATACTACAGAGCGCCCCAACGAGTTCGCGACAATTGAGAAAACTTCAAATGTATTATCCCGTTTGTTGTGAACTTTTCGGTACACCCTGTACATACCTCATAATCAAGTGGACTCTTGGACATTTGACAATTAAAACCAATTCTAACGTAATTTCCTACAATAATTATTTGTCACTGTCCAGAACCTGCTTGATCATAAAATTTGGCAATTAAAAAAAATCGTGATTGTCAATTCGTCAAATATAACCCCCACCCCTGCATAGAAAAGACACTGAGCGCGCTCAAACGTCAAAAAATGGCGCGCTATTTGAAAAACGCGTCTGCCAGACGCCATCACAGTCTTAAAAATACAGAACAAAAGAAATTAATAAGATCTGAACTACTGGAACACGATAAAAAATATTTGGCTAAAAATTAACTAACTTTTCATAATATTAACAATAATTTTTTCCCAAGTGAAACACCATACGATGGGAAAAAAGGCGTCGCAGTAGCCTTTAAAATGGTAGAAAAATTAAAAGTTATGTTAATTTTTTACTATAAACAGATAGAAATGTTTGTTTTAGATGATTTTAACAATAATTCTAAACTTGGAAGAACAGATACATTCGTTTTAAACAAACTGACTTAAAAAGTTCTTTAAAAAAACTATATTTTGTGAAATTGTTCTCAAAATTTTGCACTATAATTGACTTAACTTACTACAATTTAAAAAATTGACTATTAAATAATTAACCGTGTCCAAACATAAAAATATAACAATAAAAAAAATTAAGAGTTTCCAGTAGTTCTACCATAACGCTTTGTTAAAGGACACTATTGCTCTATATAAGAAAACTTTAGACCCTATACACATCAATAACAAATCAGAAGTCCATAAAAATGAAAGTAATCATCCAAAAAAAAAACAGTATTATGTACAAAAACACGAATAACAATTGATTTAACAAAAAAATAAATCGTAGCGGGCCCGATCCGACGCCCCCTGCCTATCTGGACGGTTTTTTTTTAATTCTAGGATCGAAATGGAAGAAAACGTTTCAATGGATAACTGTTTACGCCCTCAGGATGACACATCGTCCGGCGCGCGCTACGAAAAAATTGACTACAATTGGCTTTTAGTGGAATTTACTATTTAACAGCTCTCGTTGTACGGAATCGGTTAGAATAAAACCGCAAAAATTACATAACCTTAAAAATTTTCTCCAAAACCTGAGCATATTTACAATGGAGTTAAAAAAAAACAAAAAAAAATTCCAACTGTTTTCATACAGTACCAATCAACAAAAAACTTGGTCTAAAGCTTAAACTGACGAAATAAGAATCAACAATATACAGGGTGTGCAACAAAGTTTGCAATAAATGGTAAAATTATTTATTATTGAGTTAGAGAAAAAACATTTTTTTTTCGAAAAATAATAAAATTTTGAGTCTCTGTATATTGATAAACTTGCCGAACAACTTTTCTCTTTGACTTTTTCGAAATTTAATCACTTAACCTCAATTTTTGCATATATAAAGAGAATCAATGTAGGTTGACGCGATGACATGAGTTATTTTAGTTTTGTTATTAAATATCCTAAAGAAATTCTAAATATATTTTTTTAATAACTCAATAATAAAACATAATATACCATTTGTAACAAACTTTCTGGTGCACCATGTATAACAGGTAAACAATTAACCGTCTATAATCACTTTTGGCACATTTGCGACTCACAAGCTGATCGTCGGAAGAATATAAAGTATCATAGGATCGAGAGAGAAAAAAACGCCGTCACGGTAGCTTTTGAATCGATGACATTTTTTTCTATCGGGTTGACCCCTATTATATAAGTCGCTTATTAAAAAATGACATAAAAAATTTCCAAAAATTAATATTTAAATGAAAAATGTATGTTTATAGGCACGACAATGAACCGGTAAAAAAATATTTCTGTTTGGAATTAAATATTAATTTTTGACAAATTCCGATGTCAATTTTAAAATAAATGGCATATATTTATGGTAATTTATTTATCGATTTTTATTTCAGAAGCAACCGTAACGTCGTTTTTTTTTCAGATCAATCAGCTCATGTCGAATAAGTTTACTGCATAGAGAGATACTCAATACATATATCCATACTCGTTTTACTCCTTGAAAGATGTTTGATTGTTTTCCTTGAAAAAATAATTTAATTTTAATCTCACTTAAGTATTTAATCAGTGGCTCTCAAACAAAAACAAACAGAGCTAAAATAATAAAAATAAGAACGTATTTCAATACAGATTTTTTTAAACAGGACCGGATTTTTAAACCAAAATATTCAACTACTTGAATAACCAAACCAAACCAAAGAAGGCCCTTAATAAAAATTAAATTTCTAGATATGTATAATTGACTTCAGACATTATACCGATCGGGTCATTGTAGAAGCGTGGTCTGGATTTTAATGTGTAACACAGTGATAATTTAAAACAGCTTAATCAAAAATCAAACGAATTAAAAGAAAAAAAAGTTATATTGATACATTTCTTCTATGCGGTATTGCCGGATTTTGCGTCAAAATTTCAAACCGCACAAGTAGGCGTCTACGAAAAATGTTGCATGGTTGGATCTTTATTTTCCATTCAATCACTTTCTCATTTTACTATAACTGTAATCGACATATATAAAATGCTAATGTTTATCTGTGTCGTCTCTACTGAAGTAACGACTTGCTCTAGAAAGTTGCTCTTTTTACTAAAAGATAGCTAATTGGCACTTCTAAAAACTGTCGTCGCCGGATTTTTTGTTTTCCATTTAAAAAAAATAATAAAAAGTATTTTTTTCCTGATCTCGTGACGGATGCGCCAGGCTTCAACTAGTAGATTATATTTAGCTTAGATATATACTATCTTCTTTTCGGTAGTATTTTTATTCTTAGCCCTACCTACGCCAGTAAAATCCGGCAATACTGTATGCCGCTTTTTATTTTGTCTCTCTGTCTGTCACTTATACCTCTGTCTGTCACTTATACACCACGGCGATATGGTGTCCAGTACAGTATATTAATTTCAACAGCAGTTTAGTGATTTATTTCCTGCAGCAATATGCAAGAATGGACTTTGACAAAGTTTATAAAAAAATAATGGATATAATGTCCTTGTAATTTAAAAAAATTAAATAAAAAAGCTTAATTCATTTACTGAAGCAGCTGAGTATTTTGATACGTCAAACCAAGAATATTATTTTCAGTCCTTAGTTCAGACTACGTATTTTAAAACAAAGAATTTTCAGCGATCATCCAACGTTATGTCTTATATTTTTGTAAAGGCCATACAAATTAAAAACCGTTGCACGTCATCGAGCACGTGCTTACATTTTAGACAACATTGTTGCCAGGTTGTAACAGAAAGATAGAACGCACAATAGATCAGTAAGGTTTTTTATTTTGTATGACCTTTACTTCGTCCCTCAACTAGATGAAAGAGATTGTTTACGTCATTTCGTAAATTACTACATATTGTGTCTCTGGTAATTGTCATTTATTTGAGCCTATAATTTTACTCATTTTACTTTGTTCACATGGAATCCGAATTGCGGTCTTCGGCCATATCATGGTCAATGGCCTACCGAGTGGCGAGTGTCTAAATCGACTCTTACTCGTGAGATATCCGATCTCATCCGGCCTTGAACCGGCGTGAATGAGCAGTGTGTGTCAACACTAACAACCTAACCAAACCAGTGCTTCGACGTAGCCGTGCTGTTGCCCAACTTTAGAGTTTTATTTATATTTTTTTTTGGTCAAATCTACAACTGCGGCAAAAACAGAGGGATAAACTCAATATTGTTCAATATTTTGTAAGTACAATCAATGATTTATTTTGTGTAGTTCTGAACTTACAGAGCATTAAAGAGCATCATGGTATAGCCCTTAGTTCTTTCCATGGATTTATTTTTATTACCGGTACAATTAGTTGAAAAAATCTGCTATTAAAACACAATCAAAATTAATAAATGCCGGAAAAAAAACGGAACTCGCTCAAATAATATTTTAGGAACGTACTTAAAATTTTCTAAACAATATGAACTGATTTCAGACACACCCCGAAACTTACATTTGAAAAATAATGATGACGTAACGCTGAAAGATCACTGAACATTCTTTATATAACGAAAGGAAGCCACAAATATGGAATATAGTAGAGTCAATCAAATTGTGTCCGGCAAATTTCGCTTTTGGAGAAAGACAGAGCGAAGAAGACTATCCATAATAACTGCGGAAGATTCTCGCAGGACAATAAAACAGAGACGGAAAAAGATATGCGCGCTGCGAAAAGTAGCAGTCGTAGTACCAAAAAGTACCGTCGCACGCATCATCGACGGATATGTCATCGAAGTTTCGTTCCACCGCGTATATTCTGCCCGATTTATTCTCTCCTGGATCGATTGGTTGGACGAGTAGGGCTAACAGTGCACCGCGGGCGCCTGGTCGTAGTCGCTGACCAGTTTCTTGATGTGCGACAGCTTCTTGTGCAGGTATTCGAAGCGGATCTTGGCACGTTGGTGTTCGAGGTTCTTCTTCATTTCCTGGTACTCGCGTACGATTTGTTTCTTAATGTCCTGCAAACAAAATTAGGGAGCGATGAGTATCTAAACCAGCCGTTCTCAAATTTTTTGGAAAATTTTCTGAAATATAGTTGTTATATCAAATATGGGAAAAATTTAAACCAGCGGTTCTCAAACTTTTTGTAAAGTATTTAGCAAAGATAAGGCTCTAAAATAGCGGTTCTTAAACAGCCTCTACACTATCTCCGAAATCGTAAAACATTCCTAAAACATTTCTGGAAATACTTTCAGAAGTATTCTCAAATATAAGCCCGCGTTAAAAAAATTAGTTTCTCCGTTTCCTGAAATTGTTCGAGACGCGCCGTGATTGGTTATTTGTTTTTTATTGTTAACCAAAACTAATTTTTATAACACGGGCTTATATTTATTGTACTATTTTGTGAAATAACACGAAGCAATCAACGCCAAACGTTGTGGTGGCTTCAGAAAAATAAAAAAAAGTGCATTTAGAAAACAGTTACCGATGGTAGATTAAATTGGCCTTTCCTCTAAGGTTACACAAGAATATTTAGTTTTAATCATTGTCTAACATTATTAATTATAATATAGTAAAAACATATATTTCAAAACTTAAAATCGTAATACCGCTGGGCAATACGCAGTGACTAACTGTTCTGGCGGCTCTATTTTTATAAATAAGCATTCGTCAATAAATGAAATAAAATTTACCAGGCGTTACTTTTTACCACACTGTCTAATACACACACAAAATTCAGTTTTTTTAGTATTTGGAGCAATTATTACTACAACGTAAATAGTCAATTAATGTAGTTTGAATACTAAGATCATATTAATTGGTCCTCTAACAAAAAATATTTAAACAGTCTTTTTTTTATTTTTTAATTAAATAAGCGAACTATATCGACAATATTAGTATCTGTACCCTTTGAAAATTTGTTACATCTTTAAAAATAAGCTAAAATGTCAATATTCCATGGGTATAGTGATAAATGAGGTCTACATTATAAGAAAATGCATTTTCTATGAAAACTTGAAGAGATGGGTAAAAATGGAACAATACAATTTGATAGACAATTACATTGTGCATCTGATTCACGTAAAATATATAGGGTGTTCCATTTAAATTAAACAAGTTATTGCCGTTTAAAGCTAGTAATTATTTAATACACATTTTTGGACACTCTGTATAATGTAGTAAAATTTTTATTATTGCAACACAATATCTGATCAATAAATAATCTTCAGTAAATATTTAGTATTAAAAACTCTGATACTCTTGGAGAAATAAAGCCTTAAATTTTTTACTGCAATTTCATAAAATTGAAAATATTTCAAAAACCGTAAGGTTTAAGTGTGATAAACTTTAATCAAATTTACCTTTATTTCAATCGTAGAATCCAAAAATAGAATAATATACAGGGTGTTCTATTTAAAAAAATACAACTATAATATTTTTTACTTATTTGGGACACTCTGTATCTGGTAAAAATATTTTTAGATTGTAGCTCTAATAGTCCTCCAACGAACCCAAAACTGACAATTTGTAAAAATCTAATCGTTTAGCTACAATACTCCGTGTCGTATGTGGTGAACAACCCTGTATATCAACATAATGAGATGTAATTAACGAAATATCATCGTAACAACAGCTATTTTAGAAACGTCTAGGTTTACTTATTTCACTGAGATTTATGAGAAAAAAAATTCTTTGCCTCGGGTACAGATACCGCCACGTTTTCTAACGTATATGGAAAATGGATTTAAACCAGCAGTTCACAATCTTTCTGACATATTTAGAAAAGCGGTTCTCAAATTTTTTGCAACGTATTTCAGAAATGTTGGGATTAAAAACAGTGGTTCTCGTTTTTGATAGTAGCTTAACTGCCTTTTTAATAAATTCATAGAAAAATAATTGTGTAGAAAGTTCTCACTCTGAAAAATAATCACCTGTATGATAAATATATCTTTACTTACTTTATATTTAGGGCTATGTTCACCTTCCAACTTCAATTTCGCTTCTAGCTGCTCGAACCTTTTGGATACCTTCTCTACCAAAGGATACAGGCCCTTGTATTCGGCGTAATCTGCGTTGAAATCGGCTTTGTATGCCCTTTTTTGATCAACGTTCGTTATGGTAACGTAATGCCTAAAATTAAAGAGATCATTTTTAGTAAAGATCCACTTTCTAGTTTTCGCTAGATCCAAAATCATTGAATACTTACTTTTTATAATCAGGAAACTCTTCTTCGACTGTCAAACATTCCTTGGGGCCCTGCACTGGAGACTTATCCGTCACGGCTACTGGCAGGCCTTCAGTCTGGCTATCGGGACTCACCCTGGCTATCCTTTGACTACTTGAAGTAACCTGCAGATGTTTAAAGAAAAAAAAAGTCAGTAAAGAAATTACTTATAGGTTTAGTATTAAAATTGCAGTTAATGATAGAGAATATGGCTGACCTTAGTGTTATTGTTCCGTCTGTCTTTGTCCCTACCATTGGACATTGGATTTGATTGAGGAATAGGACTATTTGTGCTACGTCGCATGTCGTCGGTTGGATGACGATTATTTATTGGAGACCTGTAGAAAAATATTGAGTGAATTACCATATTAACAATTATATACGGTAATAGCAAAACATTTTCCGATGCGCGTCATCAATCATATCGAAATTGACACTAAAGCCTATAAATCAGACTAAATGAAATTTTGGCAAAAATATTTAATTTGTTGTATAATTTAAGATACCGAGCAGCTCTTCATTTTACTTTATGGAGCAAATGATTGGAACAGATATTTTTTCAAAACTGCCGTCATTTGGTTAATAATTATCGTATCGTCCTGATTTTTGCATATAAATACTCATGAGTGTTTAGCGCTTCCGACAAGCCTAAATAACTGGATTATTTTTTATATTTTCGATTTGTTTACATTGTCCGAGCATAATATAACTTTGAGATAAAAATCTCTGTTGTAAATTTTAAAACTGACAGATATGAATACTACCATATAATTAGTTATACATTTAGTTACAACATATTCAAAATTTAGGTCTATCGGTTTATGCTAGCAGTAATAACGAGTATAAATAAAAAATGGTTGAGTTTAGTTTTAGCGCTATTCTTACAGAAAATAAATTCTGAACTTTGATCAAATGACAAGAACATTATCATTGCCAATATCTCCTGGTTATAATTAGTTCTTTTTTCAAAATATTGCATTGTTTTAGCTTAAAAAAACTTGAATTATGCGGCTTTTTTTGCGAGAGCTACCGGAGCTGCGTTAATAAAGAGATGGCTGTGTACGTCAATCATAGCCACAATAGACTGTAATTTTACCTCGTCACGAGATTTTTTGGAAATATTGCACTTCCATTTATCCGGATTTCTACTAACTTTTGACCTTTCTTTTCGGTCGCATTTCCCTCTATTTACTAATAAATAATTTATAAAAACGCACAAATACTACTGGTAGTAAACAAGCTGTAGCAAAAATTTTCTATACTCCGTGTAAACAAAAGACTATCGCAAATACTGTCTTTCTATTGACGTACATAGCCATCTCTTTATTAACGCAGCTCCGGTAGCTCTCGCAAAAAAGCCGCATAATTTCAAGTTTTTTTTAAGCTAAAACAATGCAATATATTGAAAAAAGAACTACATTATGACCAGGAGATATCGGCAATGATAATGTTCTTGTCATTTGATCAAAGTTCATAATTTATTTTCTGTAAAAAATAGCGCTAAAACTAAAACCAAAGCTGAACGTGCGCTAAAAACGGCTTGCGTTGTACTGACCATTTTTTTATTTATACTTGTTATTACTTTTAACAAAAACTGATAGACCTAAATTTTGAATATGTTGTAACTAAATGTATAACTAATTAAATGATAGTATTCATATCTGTCCGTTTTAAAATTTATATCAGAGATCTTAAAGTTGTAATATGCTCGGGCAATGTAAACAAATCGAAAATATAAAAAAATCCAGTTATTTAGGCTTGTCGGAAGCGCTAAAGACTCATGAGTATTTCTATGCAAAAATCAAGACGATACGATAATTATTAACGAAATGACAGCAGGTTTAAAATTATTTATTTCGTTAAATCGGCGCGCAACAACGCGTACTGCCTACTAGGCTGCCTGCGGTCACGCGCTAAGGTCGTTGTGCAATCCGGACGCTCAATTATGATCATAGATTATGATAATGTCAGTCATTATTTTGTGTAATATCGTGTTGTTGAATCTTTGGGAGTAATTCTCGTTTTTTGCCGATTTTCATAGTCTTCTTTTAAAAATTGTACTTTTAAGCACATACAGTTCTTTTAAGAACTAAATTTTCGAGTTTTTGTATTGCATTTCTTGAAATTTTCTGTCGAAAATATGCCAAAGCATTTAAACAGTCGAAGCAAAGAACTTGTAGCTTTTCTAATAAACTATTTTGAACAAGAACTTGACAATAAAGGTCCCTTATTACCCTTGACTGCATTCAGAGAAGTAAGTTTGATTGGTATGAAGTACATAATACCATTTTTAAAGTTATTTCTACTTATTTCCATTTGTAATGAGTAGCTACTGCCTTAACTTTAAATATTGCTACTGTGAGTGTTAGTGACTACTGTTAATAAAGAAATTAATTACTAAAATATTAATTATTAAGTTAAAAATAAAACGTAAAAATCTTCACAATCACAATCTGGCAGCGCTGTCGCCATCGCTTGTCAGTCAAAGTTGATCACGTGCATCGGAAATTGTTTTGCGATTACTTTATATATATATATTTCTTTTAAGTGTATGTTAGTTGTTCTTTAATGGTAAATAGTTTAGAATTTTAGTATTAATAATGTAATTACCCGCTCCTGAATGCCTTTTCTCTGCTTACTCCAAATGTCAAACTATTGGCGCTATCACACTGTCGCTTATTTCTTTCGTCCTCGGCTGGCGGAAGATTGTCATAGGAGTTATAATACCTGAAACGTCACAACAAAAACTTATTAAAATTAAGATTTTTTCACCATTTTTAGTATGCAAAATTAATTCTTTATCAGAAGTATAGATTTTTATACAAAAGTACTATTAATAACGTATATTTAAATTTTAATAATTTTGATGGCTTATGTTTAATTTTGTTCAAAAGGGCGTAGTCATTGACATTAAAAAAAATCTGATGTAACTTTTCATAAAAAATAAAATCTTATTATGAATTAAGTGACAGACAACAGTCGTTCTAAGGGTAAAAACATAGTAGAGCGACGAGGCTAGAGGCACAGCGACGAGGTAAGCGTCGCGACTAGAATTTGATCGTGTATTGTAATGGAGGCAAACACAGTAAAGAGATTGCCGAAGCGTCAAGTGACGAGACAAGATAAAAATATGATTTCTTGTCGCGTTGACCCTGGAATGCGTGTGGCCTTTTTTCAGTTGACTGGTATCATTATGTAGGAGGAATATTGAAAAAATCGGACTGGATGTTGTCTCACTTCAAAAAATAATGTATGGTACTGTCCAAACTGTTTGCGCGCTTGATTAATGGGATGTACAGAGTAGTTTCTGTCCAATTCCCCCACTGCTATAAGTCCGCGAAGCGCCGCATTATCGAATAAAATCTCATCTTCACTGTCGGAGAACATTGTACATACTGGTTTGAATTTGGAAAGTCGAGCAATAAATCGCAACTTTTGTCTCCTTACTATGTACGTGTCTCCTGTCGCGTCGCTTATCTTGTCTCTTACCTCGTCGCTGTGCCTCTAGCCTCGTCGCTCCACTATGTTTTTACCCTAAGGAATTCTCTCGAATAACTTTACGTCTCTACACAACAAATATTTTAAAATTACTACATATATTTGATGTCAATTAAACTTTTAGCTACGTAATCAACAGTCCTGTCTCACAATGTACCGTTTGTGTCCAGGAAGGGTTCATAGCAAAGAATATCTTAATACCCTAGAAGTCTCGTCTGGCATCAAAATCTGACCTGTCGATGGGGCCTCGCTTTGGCGAGCGAGGCCCCAACTTCGTGGAGCCTCGCTATTTTGCTCGGAATTGAACGAATAGACGCGCGGCGTTGCCTTGTTTTGTGTGTACTTTCTTGAATAGTTTTAAATTATAGTTTTAAATTTTATCTATTGCTATAATCAGTCTTTCCGTTCTCCGCACTCCGCAGTTTACATATAATATTATCTTATATAATTCCCGTGTTACAGTTTTGGTTACCGTACTCCTCCGAAACGGCTTAACCGATTTTGATGAAATTTATATGTATATTCAGTAGGTCTGAGAATAGGTAGTTATATATTTTATACCCTTAAATGATAAGGGTAGTCCACCCCATTTTTTTTATTTGTGTGAAAACAATATTTTAATTTTTTTATTTGGCATTAAAAATACAAACAACACTAAATTTTCACTGTTCTACTTTCATCCCCTATTTTTAATAGGGTTGTTTTTTAATTTTTTGTTACCATCTCGAAACGGCTTAACCGATTTTGATAAAATTTTATATGTATATTCAGTACGTCTAAGAATAAGTTGTTATCTATTTTTATACCCTTAACTGATAAGGGTAGCCGAGAGGGTAACTCACCCTCATTTTTTTTTAGTTTTTGAAAAGAAAAAAATGTTTTTTATTTTTTTATTTGGCATTAAGAAATACAAACAACCCTAAATTTTCACCGTTCTGCTATCATCCCCTATTTTTAATAGGGGTTGTTTTTTATTTTTTTTGTTGCCATCTCCGAAACGGCTTAGCCGATTTTGATGAAATTTTATAAGTATATTGAGTAGGTCTGAAAACAGGTTGTTATATATTTTTTATACCCTTAAGTGATAAGGGTAGCCCACCCCCATTTTTTTTTATTTAAAAAAAAAAATATTTTTATTTTTATTTTTTTTATTTGGCATTAAAAAATACAAACAACCCTAAGTTTTCACCGTTCTACCATCATCCCCTATTTTTAAATAGGGGATGTTTTTTTTTAATTTTTTGTTACCATCTCCGAAACGGCTTGATCGATTTTGATGAAATTTTATATGTATATTCAGTAGGTCTGAGAATACGTTGTTATCTGTTTTTATACCCTTAAGTGATAAGGGTAGCCCACCCCCATTTTTTTATTTTTTGAAAAAAAAAATATTTTAATTTTTTTTATTTGTCATTAAAAAATACAAACAACCCTAAATTTTTCACCGTTCTACCCTCATCCCCCTATTTTTTAACAAGGGTTGTTTTTTAAGATTTTTGTTACCATCTCCGAAACGGCTTAACCGATTTTGATAAAATTTTATTTGTATATTCAGTACGTCTAAGAATAGGTTGTTATCTATTCTATACCCTTAAGTGATAAGGGTAGCCGGAGAGGGTAGCCCACCCTCATTTTTTTTTTGGAAAAAAAAATATTTTTTTTATTTGGCCTTAAAAAATACAAACACCTTCCTAAATTTTCACCACTGTTCTACCATCATCCCCTATTTTCTAATAGGGGTTGTTTTTTTGATACCATCTCCGAAACGGCTTGGCCGATTTTGATGACATTTTATTATGTATATTGAGTAGGTCTGAAAATAGTTTGTTGTCTATTTTTTATACCCTTAAGTGGTAAGGGTAGCCCACCCCCATTTTTTTATTTTTTGAAAAAAAAATATTTTAATTTTTTTTATTTGGCATTAAAAAATACAAACAACCCTAAATTTTCACCGTTCTACCATCATCCCCTATTTTTTAACAGGGGTTGTTTTTTAAGATTTTTTGTTACCATCTCCGAAACGGCTTAACCGATTTTGATAAAATTTTATATGTATATTCAGTACGTCTAAGAATAGGTTGTTATCTATTCTTATACTCTTAAGTGATAAGGGTAGCTGAGAGAGGGTAGCCCACCCCATTTTTTTATTTTTGAAAAAAATTATTTTAATTTTTTTTATTTGGCATTAAAAATACAAACAACCCTAAATTTTCACTGTTCTACTCATCATCCCCTATTTTTTAATAGGGGTTGTTTTTTTAAGTTTTTGTTACCATCTCCGATTGACCGATTTTGATAAAATTTTATATGTATGTATATTCAGTACGTCTAAGAATAGGTTGTTATCTATTCTTATACCCTTAAGTGATAAGGGTAGCCGAGAGGGTAGCCTACCCTCATTTTTTTTATTTTTGAAAAAAAAATATTTTTTTTATTTGGCCTTAAAAAAATACAAACAACTCTAAATTTTCACCGTTCTACCATCATCCCCTATTTTTTAATAGGGGTTGTTTTTTTTTAAATTTCTTGTTACCATTTCCGAAACGGTTTTGCCGATTTTGATGAAATTTTATATGTATATTCAGTACGTCTAAGAATAGGTTGCTATCTATTTTTTATACCCTTATGTGGTAAGGGTATTCCCTCATTTTATATTTTGAAAAGAAAAATGTTTTATTTTTTTAGTTGGCATTAATAAATACAAATAACCCTAAATTTTCACCGTTCCACCATCATCCCCTATATTTTAATAGGGGTTGTTTTTTTTTGACACACTTTCATCACTTAAGGAACCTCTGTACAAAATTGCATACTCCTAGTCCTAGAACGGATTTTACATAAAAATTATACAAATTTTTACCCTTAGTTTTACCCCCTTAAGGAATGAATTCCAAAAATCGCTCTAATTATTCAATTACGCTACATAATAAACCTCTGTGCAAATCATCATATATAATCATCATCATATTAATCATCATCTAAAACCGATTTTAACAAATTTTTGTACAAATTTTCATCCCTTATTTTTTAGGGGATGCATGCCTAAAATTCGCTTCTAGGTACTCACTTTCATCATTTAAGGGACCTCTGAACAGAATTTCATACTCCTAGTCCTAGAACGGATTTTACATAAAAAATTATACAAATTTTCACCCCTAGTTTTATTCCCCCTTAAGGAATGAATTCCAAAAATCACTCTAATTATTCAATTACGCTACATAAGGAACCTCTGTAAAATTCTCAAGATTCCTTGAACAGAATTTATTGTTCCAGAACGTTCAACCCTTCATTTCACACCCTTAGAGGGCGAATTTCCAAAAATTGCTTCTTAGTGCTAAATTACGTTACATAAGGAACGTCTGCAAAATTCATACTTCTAAAACCGATTTTAACAAATTTTTGTACAAATTTTCATCCCTTATTTTTTAGGGGATGCATGCCTAAAATTTGCTTCTAGGTACTCACTTTCATCATTTAAGGGACCTCTGAACAGAATTTCATACTCCTAGTCCTAGAACGGATTTTACGTAAAAAATTATACAAATTTTCACCCCTAGTTTTACCCCCTTAAGGAATGAATTCCAAAAATCACCCTAATTATTCAATTACGCTACATAAGAAACCTCTGTGCAAATTTTCATATTCCTTCAACAGAATTGTTTCAGAACGTTCACCCTTCATTTCACACCCTTAGAGGGCGAATTTCCAAAAATTGCTTCTTAGTGCTAAATTACGTTACAAAAGGAACGTCTGCAAAATTCATACTTCTAAAACCGATTTTAACAATTTTTGTACAAATTTTCATCCCTTATTTTTTAGGGGATGTATGCCTAAAATTCGCTTCTAGGTACTCACTTTCATCATTTAAGGGACCTCTGAACAGAATTTCATACTCCTTGTCCTAGAACGGATTTTACATATAAAATTATACAAATTTTCACCCCTAGTTTTACCCCCTTAAGGAATGAATTCCAAAAATCACTCTAATTATTCAATTACGCTACATAAGGAACCTCTGTGCAAATTCCCATATTCCTTGAACAGAATTTATTTTTCCAGAACGTTCAACCCCTCATTTCACACCCTTAGAGGGCGAATTTCCAAAAATTGCTTCTTAGTGCTAAATTACGTTACATAAGGAACGTCTGCAAAATTCATACTTCTAAAACCGATTTTAACAAATTTTTGTACAAATTTTCATCCCTTATTTTTTAGGGGATGTATGCCTA